GCTAATATGCATGTTAATTAACAACTAGTTGATGGTGAATTTGTGTACCTTAAAGGGCACCTATCATGCAAAATGCACTTTGTGATGTCTTTTATACATAAATATGTGTCCCCGGTGCGTCGGGGAACTCACGTACCCAAATCTTTAAAAAAATGGGTGTACAACGAGCGGATACAGATTCCATCCGAACTGACGTCAAATCGGCAGCGGACCCACAGAAAGTTGCTATCAGAAACAATGCCTGACGTGTTTTGGACGTAATCTCGTCTTTGTTTACATTAGCAAGCCTCGCTAACGCTCTAACCTGTACTGGAGAGCACATGTGTTTAAAAAGCATGAAATAAAAAAAGAACTCACCTTGTGATAAACCTGCAAGAGAAAAAGCATTTGAGCTCCATACTGTTTCAGAAATAATCCTTGACGTGGTTTAAACAGGATAGCGTTTTATCACAGCAGAATTTAACTTTATCTCCGGTAGAATTCTGATCAGGCATTAGCTCCGCCTCTTCTTCTTTTTGTTTTTTTCAAGCTAAGGACCCAAGATCCGCATTTCTCTAACAGGGCTGCAAAAGAGGGGTACAGTATGAGCAGTATGAGGCATGGCTACAATGGGTGATCTGTTTGGTATTTTGAAAAAAAAACTTCACAGACATGTTTTGTATAGGTATGGCCCTACAATATATGTTTCAAATATAGCATGATAGGTCCACTTTAATATAAAGTGTTACCAACCTGATGAACTCAGTTAGTTTTAGGTTCCTTTTGAGAGAAACCAATGTGTCTTATCCCTTTCAACTACTACCTGTTACTGCAGCTCTTTTTAGAGGGATTTTGATTCTCAATTTTCAGAGTTTTCCTGACTTTACATGAGGTGAAGATGTTACTAAAATCTCATGACAAAGACATACACAGGTAGCATGGTCCTTGTTGAACTATTATATTGACCAGGGCCGAATTCACCATATACATTGGGGGGGACACATCCCCCACAATATTCAGGTACACTCAAAATGTCCCCCCCAATAAATAGCAAAAATAACAAAAACATTTTTTTTTTTTTTTATTAAAATAAAATTGCTATTCTATGACTTTTTTTATTTTGGCTATTTGTATACTTGAAAATCTTTATTTTCTGTTATTGTGAACTTCACCAAAATGATATATTCTTTTCATATGTAAATTGGTTCCACCTTGTTTGTTTATGCATACCTTTATTTTGTACCCGGGGGTGTATTTCGCAGTCGCACGTCTGAGTCCAGCTTCAGTTAGCTTGATGCTCCAAGCAGGTCAGTCATGTTTTTATTTGCCCTCCATCAGTTCTGGTATCTTTTCTAGTTAGCCCTAAAGTAATCTATATTATTTTATTTTGTAATGGTGATGTTAATGAATCCTCCGGTTTAGCTTCTTTGTGTAAGTAACTTGTAGTTCTGATGTTAAAACCGAACTTTTCAGGAATAGTAGCTAACTAGCTGTGGGCTAGCGGGTTTCAGTTGCTAGCCAGGGTTCGGCGGGCTAGTGTCAGCTATGTAGAAAATGACGGTGTCGTTTTGGATGTAATCCAATACATATTTATTCATGTGGATTATTTCTATTTTGTTTTGTCATTTGTAGAGTGTGGAAAGATTTAAAACTGTGATGTGTGACACCTATGGAATACCAAAGGTGCCAACATTAATTAAATAAATACTCTACAATTATTATGAAATAGTATTTCAACAAAACAAAAGGGCAATAAAGTGTTCCTGTTTCTACTGAAATTGCGTGGCACAGACCTTTCTATGGATTGAAATGCTTTAATATGATTATGGTTATAGTTGTACTTTATTCATCCCTAATCTCTGCCATTACAAACAACGAAACAAGAGAAGCTAAACTAGATTAAATAGGGCGATGTAATACAATGCACAATTAGACATTATGGTAAAACATTTTAACCTCTTAAGCCCCAAGCCTGTTTTTCAGGTCTCAGGCTCGAAAATGACATTCCCAGAACAATTGACTATATCTTCACTTCTAAAAGGGGTACATTAATAATCTTTTTTCTCAAAGCAATGATAAACCTGTGAGTTGGATGTAGAAGAGTCAGAATCAATATAGATGTTTTTAAAGTAAATTCAGATTGAACATAGTAAAAAAGTGTAAATTATAGTGTCCGTCCAAAAAATAAACCATTACTTATAGTGAAAACCACCCTTGAATGATGGGATAGTAGACTAAAAGCTTTAGGAATCCAAACTATAACATATAATAAGTACCGTCTATCAAGATTGATGCAAAACAAGTATTTCCAAGGCACACCTTTATATGATCATTATAGTTATACAAAATAAGAGAATAACAGGTATGAAATAATTTCAACTCATACTACAGTTTAAAAGGGGAGTGATTTGTAAAATATGCATAAAGAAAAAGTAAATCTGTTCAGTTCTGTTTCATATGGTTTTGAGAGATGTATCCATAGATTTAGTCCCTAATTTTGCTCTCAAAGTGCACCAGATTGATGCATTTACAGTAACTTCAACATTTAAAAAAAAAATCTTCCCGGACCCCCCTAGAGGAGGTTAGGTCCACCACCTGCCCACACCCCCCGTCAAATTGTCCCACCCACATTGAGGATGCTTGAGACACAGTTTCATGAATATTGTTGTTTTTTGCCCCCACGGGCAGGGGCATGGGGTTTAACAGGTTTTAAAGTATCCCATGTGTTAGTGAATTTTTATATATTTTCCTTTAGAATGGCAGGAAATTTGTATTCAAATTTTAATTTAATTTTTGGTCCCCCCCCAATGTTGACTCCATGAATACGGCCTTGATATTGACCACCATTGGGAAAACCATTTGTCCGTGGTCAACATGAGAGGTTATCCTGTACATGTCACTACCCGATCTGCATCCCTGCCCAATCTGCATTGCGCATGTGCGAGATAGTCCGCCATATTGGACAACTCTGTACGGCAACCCAAATAGGACACTTGACACAGTGGCGTTTGGCAAAGCACAAAAAGAAAACAAAAAAAACCGAGAGAGATGAGTCATTGTTATTACAACGTGACTTCACTATTATTTAACAACTCTTTTTATTGGGTCCTTTTATTGGGTTAAGTAGATTGTCAGAATAAGTGAGAAATGGATTTAACTTCTGTTACGGCCCGTCCACACAGCAGCGTTAAAAATCTTGAAACGCTTCTGCCCATTCACTTTGAATGGGGTGACGTCACTTTGCCTCACTTTTCGCCGAACTGCATTGTGGGCAGGCGAGCGGAGATTTTCAGGATTTTCAGGATTCAAAGTTGAAGAATGTTCAACTTTTGAGGCTGAGGTGGAAGCGTCAGCCAATCAAATCCCGTGTATACAAATCTGACAGTTCAAGTGCTAGCCAATCAAACCGCGTGTATGCTGGGAGAGACATACCGCAGGTCATTTCCTCATATTCCAAAAAATGGAGTAGAAATTAGCGGTAGGGAATCCCACGGTGCTTTATGACCAGTCCCTATTTACCTACCGGGATATAAACCGGAGGAGCCAGGCATGGAGGGAGGTGGCAGAGACAGTGGTAGGTTTTCGCCTGTTTGGGGAGTTTATATCCAGTTTACTTCGGGCTTTTTTGCTTCGTATGTCGGGGGCGGGAGATTCATGTGATTGGTTGTTGGTGCCTTGCTCGCAAAAAATCCCCAAGCTTCAGATACGCCCACCTCCAAGATTTTTTTAACGCTGCTGTGTGGACGGGCCGTTAGACAGCTATCATACTGAAGAAATATTGACTGTGAATGTATGCAATATGTATGGCATTCATAATTTATATCTAATGACATTAACTGTGAATGTCCTTCATTTTATTTCAAATAAAATAAAATAACAAAATATTTTTGTATAGATATTTGAGACGTTTATGACTCGCACATGCACGAGGCAAATCGGGCAGCCGTCTAGACGTCAAATGTCCGTATGGAGTTGTCCAATATGGCGGACCATCTCGCACATGCGCAATGCGGATCGGGTAGGGATGCGTATCGGGTAGTGACACATGTGTAAGAAACTGGGTGTTTCTCAATCGCGAGTAAAGCTGCTCCAGAGCCACTATTTCAAGCATACTACGTCATCGAGTGCCGCCGAAGTACTGTTCCAATCTCCAGCATACTTGGCCCGGCGTACTCCGTTTGGAGAAATATCGAGGCTGCACATGAGTAGACTCCGCGGTCTTAAAATCCCCACAATGCTTTGCGCACGGACCAATTTCCCCAAATCTGTGACGGAAAATGTAAGGCGGGGCCTCTCATATGACGCACACCTGCACACTTGCTAGCCTGTTCCACTCTTTGTTTTCCGAATGCCAGGAAGTATTCTTGCCTCGCTTCTGAAGCAAGATGCTCGGCAGACACCCACTGTGTCTCCACATATATCAGTGTTTGGTGTACAGTACAGTGACTCCATGCTTGTCTTTCCTTTGTGTTGTGCTCCATCCAGTGGACACTCTGCACCATAACCCCAGGAAGTGGTGGTAGTGTGTTACTGTAGTAAAACAACAAAAACACAATGAACTCAGTGCTGAGGTCTATATGGTATTATCCTGTTAAACTTGCATTAAATACCACAGTACTATTTTTGAAATACCATTTCTTGACTATTTTTAAATCTGGCTCAAAAGGCCTTATAAAAATGTGAGGAGATTTTTCATGCATCACTTTGAGCAACACATCACAGATAAAAGAAGTGGACGAGCCAGCAGTTATTGTTGTTTAGATTCTAAAATCAGCTAACATGTAATCCTGCTTACCTTAAAATATACATATACTGAGTTTGTAAGCACTGAAACAAAAAATAAAATAAAAGGCTATTTACCATGTTTTTTAAAATCTTGCCAGATTTATAGATTGGTTTTGATCCTTGACATACGGAAACCCATCAAGTTTCCTATTGTGTTTTTAAGACTTGCTTCCCGTCATCTGAAATAACACTGAACACATTACTCACACAAACAACAAAGACCAGTGACCTTGAAATTAGTATATATATTTTTTTATTTAAAATTGTACTTATCTTGGATGAAAGACAACATATTTAATCCGTTTCACATTGAGTTCTTGTTTAATTCAATGATTATAAAAATGTGCTGGGAGGCAAATCATTTGAAAAGGCATTTTTTCAAAGTATAAGAAAAGGAGGGTTTCGTGTATGCATGATGAGTTAAAACTGAGAACCTGGGAAGAGGTGTGTTCTGGCTTTTGGCCAACCCCCGTTAGTCATGTGACCCTCATCACATTTCACCCAGTTGTTTCTACCACGCACAACAAACACACATAAGTGTTGACACAATGCAAACAAATGTAGGACATCATGTTGATTCAGCTTTTTATATCACAAAGGGGGAAACTAGTTTTATAAAAAATATGACAAAACTACAGGAAGCAAATGGTAGGGCTTAAATCAAACTGTTATATCCTTAAAAAATGTCATCAAATCAAACCTAATTTTTCCTCATATGAGTTGTTGGCATAAATACTTGTATAATACTAAACTCTGTAGTTAGTTACCTCATTGTAAAGAGTAGTTTTTGTGTTATAGTGACTGCCTTCACTCGTAAAAGTGAATGCTATCTCACTGATATCAGCCCCACTGCTTTCTGCTCTACAGCCAATATCCAATCACTGCTAGTGGAAACAAACATTTCATCCTCCAAGCTCTTCACACAAAAAGCCATCAACTTATATTTTTTTAATGTGAATTAGCCTCAGGAAATGTGTCATGAAATACAAATGATGTGTAAACCAGGCCTTCCTGTTCAGTGTTTAGTGCTCGAGTCCCTGCTTTCTCAGACCAAACATCTAGTTTATTTTACTGTTTTCTTAACTCACAATCACATATTTACAGATGTCTTTGATTCATAAGCCTTTTTAGCAGTAATCAATATAAAACCTGGCATGTAGATATACAAGTTAACAGTTATTAACCAAACCATTTGAACACAAATGAGGATTTATCATATTATTTAGCTTCATTTTAGTTTTCTAGCAGTTTAACTATTACACATATTAAATGTAGTACACAGTAGAGGCATTAAAAGGCCTTTCTCTTAAATGAAGCTTCATGACACAATTAATTATAAACCATTTAATGTTTTTATCAATTCTAACTATAGCTTGACAAATTTGGTGTCATTAGAAACAACCTTTTTTTTTAAAGTTAAAATAAATCTATAGCTTTTTCCAACGTTCATAGATATTCTCCACATGTGTTACGATAAAGTGTTGAAGAGATAATTATTTGATTGTTGAGTAGATTAATGCATCCACTTATGTGTTGTATACAGAATCTAAACCATATGTTAATCAATCACCACATTAAACTTATTTTGTAGAAAATACTCTAAATATCGATGTTTGTTTCCTTGAATGAAAACAAATCAACACATGAAATAAGATGAGTGATTAGGTGACTCTGACAGGAGAGATGATCAGAGGGGCTGAGTTTTTACGGCCACATTTATCACCAGGACCAAAGAATGGGTAGAGTTTCTCAGTGAAGGAGCAGCCAGTAAAGGAGTAGATCAGAGCTGCAGCATCTACGTCATAAAAGGAGACCAGACCCTCCTCATAATCCACAAACACCCCCACCTTCTGAGGCCGAGACTTCAGAGAGAGAAGAACTGAAGGAGCACCTTGAGCTTTGTACTCATTTCCATTTCTCAAACATATAGTCCAGTAACCATCTTTAGGGGTCGATATGATCTCTCCCTTCCTGTTGATCGACTTTCTGGCCACTCCTAAATCCCATCCAGTCTTTCTTTTAACTTGAACCTCAAAGTAAAATCTGCCTGAAGAGAAATTCTGCTTTCCTAAAACACAATTACAATCAGAAAATCTCTCTGGGTTGTCTGGGAGTTTCTTTTGAACATCACCATACCTCACTTGTTTTCCATCATCAGACAGGATGAGACTGGGATAGGCTGTATCAGGGTCAAGAGTCACATCCACTGCATACTTCTGGATCCTCTTCAGCTCAGCTTCAAGCAGCTTCTTCATCTCTTTACTGAACATCTCCTCTACCTTAGCCACAGCCTTTACCACTGTCCCCTCATATACCGCTGGGGTCAAACGGAATTTTCTCAAGTCCTTGGAGGGTTGTCGGTGTTGAATGTTTAGGGACTTGACACTTTGTAGAAAATGCAGGTGGTCTTCAGAGTGTGTGACCTGCTCTACCTCAGAGCTTCTCTTCTTCAGCTCAGAGATTTCCTGTTCCAACTCTTTGATTAAAGCTTCAGCCTTTTTTTCAGTTGTTTTCTTCTTCACTTTGATCGTGTTGATGAGATTGGCCTGGCCTCTCTCAACAGACTGTTTCAGAGCAGTGAAGACCTGAACACCTTCTGCTATCTCTCTGTCTGCTTCTTTCTCACTGAGGTCCACTGAGTGTTTGATCTCCTCAATCTTCAGTTGTCTCTTCTGGATCATCTGCTGAGTTTCAGCCTGCGTCTTCCCCAACTCTGCCTTCTTTCTTTCATATCCTTCTTTGAGAGGAACCACATCAAATTTGTCAAGCCACAGTTAGAATTGATAATAACATTAAATGTTTTATATTTAATTGTGTCATAAAGCTTTGTTAAAGAGAAAGGCTTATTGCATGCCTCTACTGTGTAGTAAATAAAATGTGTGTAATAGTTTTACTGCTAGAAAAAGTAAAATGATGATAAATCTTAATTTTTGTTAATATGGTTTGGTTAATAACTGTTAACTTGTATATTTACATTCCAGGTTTTATATTGATTACTGGTAAAATGGCTTATGAATCAAAGACATCTGTAAATATGTGATTTTGAGTTGAGAAAATGTTTAAATAAACTGCATGTTGAACACAAGGTCTGAGAAAGCAGGGACTCGAGTGGCTAATTCACATTAAAAAAATATAAGTTGATGTCTTTTTGTGTAAAAGTTTGTAGGAAGAAATGTTTGTTTCCACTATCAGTGATTGGATATTGGCTGTAGAGCAGAAAACAGTGGGGCTGATATCAGTGAGATAGAATTCAGTTTTATGAGTGTAGGCAGTCACTATAACACTAAAACTACTCTTTACAAATAAGTAACTAACTACAGAGTTTAGCATTATACGAGTATGTATGGCAACAACTCATATAAGGAAACATTTGAATTTATTTAATGATACTCTTTAAGGATATAACAGTTAGACCATTTGCTTCCTGTAGTTTTGCCATCTTTTTATAAAACTAGTTTCCCCCTTTGTGATATAAAACGCTGAATCAACATGATGTCCTACATTTGTTTGCATTGTGTCAACACTTATGTGTGTTTGCTGTGTGTGTGGTAGAAACAACTGGGTGAAATGTGATGAGGGTCACATGACTAACGGGGGTTGGTAAAAAGCCAGAATACACCTCTTCCCAGGTTCTCAGTTTTAACTCATCATGCATACACAAAACCCTCCTTTTCTTATACTTTGAAAAAATGCCTTTTCAAATGATTTCCCTCCCAGCACATTTTTATAATCATTGAACTAAACAAGAACTCAATGTGAAACGGATTAAATATTTTGTCTTTCATCCAAGATAACAGTCTTGACAAGTACAATTCTAAATAAAAAATAATTTCAAGGTCACTGGTCTTTGTTGTTTGTGTGAGTAATGTGTTCAGTGTTATTTCAGATGACAGGAAACAAGTCTTAAAAACACAATAGGAAACTTGATGGGTTTCCGTATGTCAAGGATCAAAACCAATCTATAAATCAGGCAAGATTTTAAAAAACATGGCAAATAGCCTTTTATTTTATTTCTTATTTCAGTGGTTCAAAACTCTGTATATGTTAAGGTCAGCAGGATTACATTTGATCTGATTTTAGAATCTAAACAACCATAATTGCTGTTTTATTCATTGCTCAAAGTTATACATGAAAGATCTCACATTTCCATATGTCCTTTCAAGCCAGATCTAAAAATAGTCAATAAATGGTATTGCAAAAATAGTACTGTGGTATTTAATGCAAGTTTAACAGGATAATACCATATAGACCTCAGCACTGAGTTCATTGTGTTTTTGTTGTTGTACTACACTACAGTAACACACTTCCACCACTTCCTGGTGTTCTGGCGCAGAGTGTCCACTGGATGGAGCACAACACAAAGGAAAGATAAGCATGGAGTCTCTGTACTGTACACCAAACACTGATATAGGAGACACAGTTTGTGATAAACATGTACAGGATAACCTCTCATGTTGACCAAGGACAAATGGGTTTTTTCAATGGTGTTCAATGTAATAGTTCAACTATGACCCTGCTACCTGCATATTTCTTTGTCCAGAGATTTTAGTTTAAACAGCTTTTGACACACCTCATCCCTCCCATCTGTAAAGCACCATCTTTGCTCCCTAACTATCAGAGAAAACCTGGTATTTCTCAATACCCATGCAGATCAGAGGGAGGGAACAAACCAGCAGAGAGGAGGAGCTACACTGGAAAGAGGAGAGCTTACACGACACACTCAGGAAACGAAAGTTACGTTAGTCAGAGAGGCAGCCACACTGCAGTCGAGACTAGTCTCTGTTTCTGTCTAAAGAAAATACAAACTGAGTTCATCAGATCTTTCTCAACAACACAGCAGAGTCTCTGTCAAACACTGGTGAGTACATCTGATTATATTTACACTGTCAACAAGCAGGATTAACACAACTTCAGCTCTACTCAGACGAAAACTCCACCCTTTACGTCCAACTTGTTTTTCTCTAACAACATAACCATTTATATGATATAGAGTCCTTTTAAAACAGTTTAAACAGTCTCTTTGTATCAGCTCTCAGTACTTTAGTAACTTGTAACTGAATCTCTGTGGTGAGGAGTTTTGATTCACTTCTGCTTTCCTGCTCTTATTACATTTTACTGATCACTTCCTACATAATGCTTTTACCCATTTCCTCTAGCTGTTTCAAAATAAAATATTTCCATTAGAGAAACAGTTGGAGGCTTTTAATGTGAAGCAGCTAGAGGAAATGAGTTGTTATGGACGCTGTCCAATAGCTGCCCACTGCTCCTGGTACTAGACTCCTGGTACTACGATGGGTTAAATGCAGAGAACAAATTTCACTGTGTGTGCTCTGCATGTGTGACCATTGCAGAGGGTTTCATCCCTCCCAATTCTATTATTCTACACAGTAAGCAGTGTTATTTTTCAATAAAAACATTATCGACAAAACATGTATTTTCATTGCTGTTAGCCAGAGTTAGATGCTTGAACCTGTCAGAGTTAAATGGTCACGGTTGCTCATGGCTTGTTACAAGTTATCAAAGTTATTTCTTTAAAACAATATATGATATGAATTGATGTTTCAAATGTTGTTTTCCTCATTACATGCGTAGATATGGCTGCTGCAAGCTACCTGCCATCTGAAGATCAGTTTCTCTGCTCCATCTGTCTGGACTTGTTCACTGATCCAGTCACTATACCATGTGGACACAACTTCTGTAAAACCTGCATCACTGAACACTGGGATACAAGTGACAGGTGCCAGTGTCCCATGTGTAAAGAGGCTTTTAATACAAGACCAGATTTGAGGGTCAACACTTTCATCTCTGAGATGGTCGCTCAGTTCAGAGAGTCGGCTCAACAGAAAGCCAGCAGCAGCAGCAGCAGCAGCTCAGAGCAACAAGTCTTCAAACCAGGAGAAGTTCCCTGTGACGTCTGCACTGAAACCAAACTGAAGGCCCTGAAGTCCTGCCTGGTGTGTCTGACCTCCTACTGTGAGACTCACCTGGAGCCTCACCTGAGAAAGTCAGGTCTGAAAAGACATCATCTGATCGACCCTGTGGAGAACCTGGAAGACAGGATGTGTCCGAAGCACGATAAACCTCTGGAGCTGTTCTGTAAGACCGACCAGACATTAGTGTGTCTGCTCTGCCATGTTTCAGACCACAAGATGCATGATGTGGTTCCTCTCAAAGAAGGATATGAAGGGGAGAAGGCAGCGCTGGGAAAGAAAGAGGCTAGAATTGAGGAAATGATCCAGAAGAGACAACTGAAGATTGAGGAGATCAAACACTCAGTGGACCTCAGTAAGGAAGATGCAGACAGAGAGATAGCAGAAGGTGTTCAGGTCTTCACTGCTCTGAAGGAGTCTGTTGAGAGAAACCTGAATGAGTTCATCCAAACAATAGAAGGGAAGCAGAATATGAGAATGAAACGGGCTGAAGACTTCATCAAAGAGCTGGAACAGGAAATCTCTGAGCTGAAGAAGAGAAGTGCTAAGGTTGAGCATCTTTCACGCTCTGAAGACCACCTCCATGTTCTCCAGGGTGTCAAGTCCCTAAATATCCAACACCCATCACCCACCAAGGACTGGACAAAGGTCAGCATCCCTCCATCATCATATGAAGGAACTGTGGTGAGAGCTGTGGTTCAGCTGGAGGAGACACTCAGTAAAGAGATGAAGAAGGTGATTGAAGCTGAGATGAAGAGGGTCCAGAGGTACGCAGTGGATGTGACTCTTGATCCTTATACAGCAAACTCATATCTCATCCTGTCTGATGATGGAAAACAAGTCCGTGATGGTGATGTGATAAAGAATCTCCCAGACAACCCAGAGAGGATTTCTAAATGTACTTGTGTCTTAGGAAAGCAGAGTTTCTCTTCAGGCAGATTTTACTATGAGGTTCAAGTTAAAGGAAAGACTGACTGGGATTTAGGAGTGGCCAGAGGGTCGATCAAGAGGAAGGGAAAGATCACACTGAGCCCTCAGGGGGGTTTCTGGTCTTTATCTCTGAGAAATGGAAATGAATACAAAGCTCATGATGCTCCGTCAGTCCTTCTCTCTCTGAAGTCTCGGCCTAAGAAGGTGGGGGTGTTTGTGGATTATGAGGAGGGTCTGGTCTCCTTTTATGACGTAGATGCTGCAGCTCTGATCTACTCCTTTACTGGCTGCTCCTTCACTGAGAAACTCTTCCCATACTTCTATCCTGGACTTAAATATGGCCGTAAAAACTCTGCCCCTCTGATCATCTCTCCGGTCACCTAATCACTCATCTTATTTCATGTGTTGATTTGTTTTCATTCAAGGAAACAAACATCCATATTTAGAGTCAAAACTGTATAATTTCCATCTTATTTTCTACAAGATAAGTTTAAAGTGGTGATTGATTTACATATGGTTTAGATTCTGTATACAACACATAAGTGGATTCATTCATCTACTCAATCAAATCATGATCTCTTCAACAATTAATCGTAACACATGTGGAGAATATCTATGAACGTTTGATAAATCTACAGATTTATTTTAACTTTAAAAAAAAAGTTGTTTCTAATGACACCAAATTTGTCAAGCTATAGTTAGAATTGATGATAACATTAAATGTTTTATATTTAATTGTGTCATAAAGCTTCATTAAAGAGAAAGGCTTATTACGTGCCTCTACTGTGTACTAAATTAAATGTGTGTAATAGTTAAACTGCTAGAAAAATGAAGCTAAATAATATGATAAATCCTCATATGTGTTCAAATGGTTTGGTTAATAACTGTTAACTTGTATATCTACATGCCAGGTTTTATATTGATTACTGGTAAAAAGGCTTATGAATCAAAGACATCTGTAAATATGTGATTGTGAGTTAAGAAAACAGTCAAATAAACTAGATGTTTGGTCTGAGAAAGCAGGGACTCGAGCACTAAACACTGAACAGGAAGGCCTGGTTTACACATCATTTGTATTTCATGACACATTTCCTGTGGCTAATTCACATTAAAAAAATATAAGTTGATGTCTTTTTGTGTAAAAGTTTGTAGGAAGAAATGTTTGTTTCCACTAGCAGTGATTGGATATTGGCTGTAGAGCAGAAAACAGTGGGGCTGATATCAGTGAGGTAGCATTCTGTTTTATGAGTGTAGGCAGTCACTATAACACTAAAACTACTCTTTACAAATAAGTAACTAACTACAGAGTTTAGCATTATACGAGTATGTATGGCAACAACTCATATAAGGAAACATTTGAATTTATTTAATGATACTCTTTAAGGATATTACAGTTAGCCCTACCATTTGCTTCCTGTAGTTTTGCCATCTTTTTATAAAACTAGTTTCCCCCTTTGTGATATAAAACGCTGAATCAACATGATGTCCTACATTTGTTTGCATTGTGTCAACACTTATGTGTGTTTGCTGTGTGTGTGGTAGAAACAACTGGGTGAAATGTGATGAGGGTCACATGACTAACGGGGGTTGGTAAAAAGCCAGAATACACCTCTTCCCAGGTTCTCAGTTTTAACTCATCATGCATACACAAAACCCTCCTTTTCTTATACTTTGAAAAAATGCCTTTTCAAATGATTTCCCTCCCAGCACATTTTTATAATCATTGAACTAAACAAGAACTCAATGTGTAACGGATTAAATATTTTGTCTTTCATCCAAGATAACAGTCTTGACAAGTACAATTCTAAATAAAAAATAATTTCAAGGTCACTGGTCTTTGTTGTTTGTGTGAGTAATGTGTTCAGTGTTATTTCAGATGACAGGAAACAAGTCTTAAAAACACAATAGGAAACTTGATGGGTTTCCGTATGTCAAGGATCAAAACCAATCTATAAATCAGGCAAGATTTTAAAAAACATGGCAGATTGCCTTTTATTTTATTTCTTATTTCAGTGGTTCAAAACTCTGTATATGTTAAGGTCAGCAGGATTACATTTGATCTGATTTTAGAATCTAAACAACAATAATTGCTGTTTTATTCATTGCTCAAAGTTATACATGAAAAATCTCACATTTCCATATGTCCTTTCAAGCCAGATCTAAAAATAGTCAATAAATGGTATTGCAAAAATAGTACTGTGGTATTTAATGCAAGTTTAACAGGATAATACCATATAGACCTCAGCACTGAGTTCATTGTGTTTTTGTTGTTGTACTACACTACAGTAACACACTTCCACCACTTCCTGGTGTTCTGGCGCAGAGTGTCCACTGGATGGAGCACAACACAAAGGAGAGATAAGCATGGAGTCACTGTACTGTACACCAAACACTGATATATGAGGAGACACAGTTTGTGACAAACATGTACAGGATAACCTCTCATGTTGACCAAGGACAAATGGGTTTTCCAATTTCAACTATGACTATAAACCACAGCACTGAGACTGCTCTTGTAAAGGTCTTCAATGACATCCACTTAAACACAGACAGTGGTAGAACTTCAGTGTTAGTATTATAAGATCTCAGTGCTGCGTTTGACACTGTTGACCACAACATATTACTAGACCGACTAGAAAACTGGATGGGACTTTCGGCAACAGTTCTAAATTGGTTTGAATCCTACTTAAAGGACAGCAAAAACGTTGTTTCTATAGGTAAATACACACGTCTGAGTTGATAAATATGACATGTGGGGTTCCTCAAGGCTCCATCTTGGGGCCTCTTCTCAAAGTTTAACATCTACATCCTACCACTGGCTCAGATAATGAAAAACAACAAAATAAGTTAATAAGTTACCATAGCTATGCGGATGACACACACATTTACATAATTCTCTGGCAGTTATAAGGAAACTCTTCATACCCCAAAACAGGTAATTTAAGTAAAAAAACAAACAGACGCTACTGTCATGGTTAAAGCTGGAATAAAAAACGAATTCCCTAGAGCAGTGGTTCCCAAACGGTGTGCCGCGGCACACTGGTGTGCCGTGAGGCAAGTCCGGGTGTGCCGTGGGATTTTGTGACAACCATACATTATTATTGCAATATACAACTACACAAAAATAATTATTTTTTTATTTACTATATCAGTACTTTGTATGCACTCATTTCATAATACAGAGGCAAACTCTATACCTAAAAACATTTCTTTTAAAAAAAATCCTCACAGAACCCCATATTTCGCTGTTAACGCAGTTGCAGGTGGGAATTATAAGACACATCGAAGGCTGAAGGACAACATTAAAACTGAGAAACACGCAAGAGGGAAAATGGAGCGCTTTCTTGTGTGGAGCAAACCACCAACCACCAGTGCAGAGACTGCCGACAACCCACCACCGAAAGAAAAGAGGAAAAAAACTGTCAGCAGACAGTATCATGAAAGTTACCTGTCTTATGGCACTGCAGGCGAGCGGCAGATTTTCCCTACAAATAGACAAATCTACTGACATAAGTGGGGCTGCCCAACTTCTGGCAAACGTCAGATATGTTGATGCTGACTATCAAAGAGACGTTTTTCTTCTGCAAAGAAATGGAAAGCCATACTACGGGAGAAGATGGTGAATTACATCAAATCAAGGCCCCTGAAATCTCGCCTCTTCTCCCAGCTGTGCGCCGAGATGGGAGCCGACCACCAAAGCCTGATCCTCCACACAGAGGTACGTTGGCTGTCACGGGGGAAAGTCCTATCCCGTCTTTATGAGCTTCGGGAAGAGCTTTTGGAGTTTTCACGTGAACACGCTGTCCCACATAAAGACAAGCTCGCGGATGAGAGGTGGTGTGCCAGGCTGGCAATTACCTCGCAGACATATTTGGGCATCTCAACGAGTTAAACGGCAAGCTTCAGGGCAGGAATGAAAACATTTTATCATCCACAGACAAGATTCGGGGGTTTATGGGCAAACTTACCCTGTGGCGCGAGGCTTTGGAACAGGGCTCCATGGACATGTTCCCGCTGGCATCAGCTGCGCCGCAGGCAGCTAGGGAGCGCGCTGTATATGCCAAACACCTTCAGACCTTAAAAGAGAGGTTTGACCGCTATTTTCCACGTGTGACTGACATCGAGGACTATGACTGGATCCGAGACCCATTCCACCAGGAATTCCCAAAAGAAAAGCTCACTATGAAAGAGAGAGAGGAGTGCGCAGAGCTCCGTGTGGACCGCACACTGAAACTCAAATTTAGTGAGCTCCCACTGGATCAGTTTTGGTTGGCTTCTGCATCGGAGTACCCAGAGCCGTATAATAGAAGAGTTACGACATCTCCGTTCACTTCCATTACAGCAATGGCGGATCGTGGAGCCGTCAATAGTTCGCCGGAAGTTAGCTTGCCGCTGACTTCCGGGTAACTATTGCTGCCAGCAACACAGTAGAGTTGCAGCATAATAGACCGTTCGTGATGGACTTTTAAAGGTAAGAAGACGTTTAAAGATTTATATTGCGGATATTATCAGCACATCTGAGTCAAATGAACATGTGTATTAAAGGATGTTAGTGGATTATCCCTAAATCAGTAGATTTAGGGAACGTTTACAGATAACAGATTAGGCTAGGATACCGGATAAAGTTAGCAACACACGTTAACCATGAACAGCTATTAATCCGTTCTCCTAATGTTATTTCATCCAACGTTGTGGAATTAGAGAAAAAGGGCTTCTAAACGTGATTTTTTTGTGGGGTGGAGGAATATAATATTAGTTAAATATAACATTGGGGCACGTGTGATTGTAATGAGTGGAGGTGGAGAAATTACGATCTCCATTTTGGAGTAGGCCTACAAACTAGTATAACAAAGTTAACGTTACACAATAATAAGGAAGAGAGCTATTTGTGTGATACATCGCTATTGATATTAATTTAGAGTGCATATTTGAGACTTCCAAACAGTAAACAAAAACGTAATTTATGGGTGAGTGTTTTTAGTGTATTCTGTTGATTATTACCTGTCTGTATTATGTTGCAGCTCAGCTGATGTTGAAATGATGGCAAAGTGAGAGTGAAAACACAAGGTAAATGTAATACTACTGTTGTATACAAGTAAGCATACTAAACATGTGTTATATCACTGTATTATACAAGTAATCTTGTTAATGTATATTAGTAACCTACTGTATGGCAGGTGGAGGGGCAGTGATGTTACAGGTGGAGGAGCAGGGATGTAACAGGTGGAGGAGCAGGGATGTTGGCTGGGTGCTGGCAGGTGGAGGGGCAGTGATGTTACAGGTGGAGGACTTACTGAACATGTATACACTCATTACATACTGTACGTAAAATACGACCAAGAATGTGAGACAACTTTATACAAATTCATATCACATCCATTACTGATGCCATTTGTCATACTTTACTTTACATACTCACAAATAATAAAGTTCCATAACTTCAGTTGGAAACAAAGACCACACCTTATCTCCCCAAGGCAATTTCCCATCCAATAGGTGTGCTATATAGGTGTGTATAACCCTTTCTCCTGTCTGTTTCTCCCTCTTTCAGCACAAGAACCAGAGGGGGATTCAATAGAGCCTGAATACCTGCACTGAGACCCTCACCCTGCACCCTGAGTCTCAACTCTCAGAGTTTTTCAAGCCTTTCCCTGTTATTTGTATTAAACCAAACATTAAGCTTCCCAATGGTGTGGTCTTCGTTTTGTGAAAAAGTGCAAATGCAGTGTTTGAATATGATTACCTCACATATTTTGTTGCGGCTGTCTGTTTGGATTGTTAAATTGCTCCTGCTGACTTGAGCTAGCCATTTTTCCTCCTCTCTGTGTCAGTGGGGAAGCCGTACATTCTGATTCTTACTCCTTTCTCTGAGCGATTGGAGCATCCCCAGGCAGCACAGCAAACCATGGTGGAGACTATATGCCAGGACAACACGGAGGAAAAGGCACAGACAAACTGCATGACATGCTATTCAATGTTTATTGAA